GGGTTCCCCGAGGAGCCTGGACAGGGCAGTCGTAGGACAGGGTCACGCAGAGAATCCGCTAACCCCACAGTCTCTGGTCTGGTTCCCTTAAAGCACCTCCCGGGCGAGGACGAGCGCGCACGGTGGTTGGAGGGATGTGTCCTTAGTAGATGAATTTAAGTGGCCTGGTAAGCAGAGCGGCATGAGCCAAGTGGGCACATCTGAGCGCGCCCCCCCCTCCCCCGGGGGCCGGCCTGCCCTTGTGGCAGGCACGGGCCTGCTGCGTCCCGCCCGGTTGTCGTCTGCATGGTGAGGGGCGCCTGCATGCACGCACAGCCGAGGCCCGCCTGGGGCCCGATTCTGCATCCACTGAGCGCAGCTTTGTACTGTTTGGCGCATGTAGTCGGGTCCAAACCCAGCACAACCTGTGCCCCGAGGAGAGGAAGGAGGAGCCGGAGAGGCTGCACCGGCCGAGAGTGGCCGCGGGCACCTCCTGTGTGCTTCCGTTGTTGCATGAGAACAGGCAGGACCTGTGCTGGCCTCTTGGCAGAGAACGCTGGGCGCTGCTGCTCCCCTCCTGACCGCCTTTCCCTCCCCAGGCCTATCGGTTCCTAACGTGCACGGGGCCCTGGCGCCTCTGGCCATTCCGTCGGCGGCGGCAGCGGCGGCGGCGGCAGGCCGGATCGCCATCCCAGGCCTGGCAGGGGCAGGAAATTCTGTCCTGCTGGTCAGCAACCTCAACCCCGAGGTACGTGCCTCTTCCTTCCAGGCTGTGGGTCCCGGAAGCACGAGCGGGGGAGTCCCACTCTGGGGTCTTAGTGCAAACGGCAGCAGGCTGAGCTCCTGTCAGCCCCAGGCACCAGGGGTCCCTCGGGGGTCTCACCCCGGGTCGCGCTCACTGCCTCCTTCCTCAGCGCGCAGAGTTCTCTTGTTCTCCTTTACGCCTTGGTTTACGTTTCCAATTCCGTAAGATGCAGAGTCGAAATGTTTTTTGATATGTGAAAGCAGTCCTTACGATTTCTAGCCGAACAAGGCGCGGTGTGAAGAGGCCCGCCGGACACCTCTGCCGAGCGGTGCTGGCCCGCAGCCGCGGTCCCGGGGATGGCGAAGCTGTGCCCATCCCCATGGCTGCGTTTGGCTCAGGGAGAGCGCTCGGGGGAGCTGACCAGGGCTCGCGGGCTTTCACTCTCGAAAGATGGGACCGGCTTTAATGAGCGTTCCAGACTGTTCTGTCGTCTGTCTGCCCCTCCTGTGACTTCCTGGCCTGAGGCGGCCGGCCGGGGGCGCGTCTGGGCCCCACTCGAGCGGAGCCCTCCACTAACAGACTCGCTCTGCCTTGTGCTTGTGTGAGCCTGGTGCGGAGGCCCACCTGCTGCGGCGAGCGGGAGGCGGCGGCCCCGGAGCCGCCGGGCGGGCTGCGCGCTCCTGCCTGTTCCGCGAGGTGAACCTGTGACTTGTAATGTGTGTAGATCTTGACTGATGGAGCGCTCGTATTTCTTATGTATTTACTGACCTATGTTTTTTTGCTACTTTTTTTCTTTTCTCCCCTTCCCCTTTCCCAATTTTTTTTCTTGCCCTGATCCGGAATTTCTTTGCCAACTGACTGCACGGTACTTCTGCTTCCTGTTGTTGCTTGAAACCAAACAAAACCATAAATAAATAAAAAAACAAAATTCCCCCTCAAACCCTGCTCTCCGGAAACCAACCTGCCCTTGAATATTAACATCCTGACAACTTCATCATCCATCAACCTGCACGCCTGTGGGGCTGCCTCCTCGTGGTGGACGATTGGCAACTCGCCCCCTGACCTCTCCCTTTCCCTGTCCCTCGCTGCCTTGCTCTGCTGTCCTCTAAAGAGAGTCACACCCCAAAGCCTCTTTATTCTTTTCGGTATGTTATCATTCACACTTTTATTACCTTGTTTTCATTTAATGGAGGTTATTTTTGACGCCCTAAGATGTACTATGAGTTTGCAGTTGGGCATTCTGCCTCGTTACGTGGCTTGCCTTCGGTTTGCGTATTTACTCTGATTCCGTAGACGCATGGTTTATTGCCCTGCATGCTTTTCGAAGAGTTAAAACGTGTTGGTAGCATGCTAAAGTGATGGTTCTTGGCCATTGACCTTTCCTGGATTTTATGACTTCTCTGCTGAAGGTAGTCTTCCTGGTAACATTCCCTGTGACTAGACGCAGGTGCCCAGAGGCAGAATAAGCAAACCTTCGGGAAGAGCCAGCCCTGTGCGGGGTGTGCGGGGCGTGGGGGCTGGCGGGGGAGGCGGCAGCAGGGCCCCAGGCGGCTCAGTGCCCCTGTCCCTGCGCTCTTGAAGGCGTGTACGGCGATGTGCAGCGGGTGAAGATCCTGTTCAATAAGAAGGAGAACGCCCTGGTGCAGATGGCGGACGGGAGCCAGGCGCAGCTGGGTAAGGCCTGTGGGGCGGGCGGGGGCCCCCTGGGCTGGTGCCCGTGGAGCCTTGGTCACCACGCGTCCTGCCTCCGCAGCCATGAGCCACCTCAACGGGCACAAGCTGCACGGGAAGCCGGTGCGCATCACGCTGTCCAAGCACCAGAACGTGCAGCTGCCCCGCGAGGGCCAGGAGGACCAGGGTCTCACCAAGGACTATGGCAACTCCCCCCTGCACCGCTTCAAGAAGCCGGGCTCCAAGAACTTCCAGAACATCTTCCCGCCCTCGGCCACGCTGCACCTCTCCAACATCCCGTAGGTGCTGGGTGGCGGGCAGGGCAGGGGAGGGGGGGGGAGGGGTCCTGTCGGGAGTTGAGTGGCGCCGGAGGGAGAGGGAGGACCTGGCGCCTGCAGGGCCACGGCGTGCAGCTCCTCACGGTCGGCCTTCCCTGAGAAGCAGCAGCGTTCAACCCCCTTCTCTGCTTCTGCCTGCAGGCCCTCCGTGTCCGAGGACGACCTGAAGATCCTCTTCTCCAGCAACGGTGGGATCGTCAAGGGGTTCAAGTTCTTCCAGTGAGTGCCGCCCGTCCCGTCCCGTCCCGTCCCGTCCCGTCCCGTCCCGTGCCCTGCCCTGCGTCCGTGCCCTGCCTCGCGCTCTGTTCTGCCCCCAGGCCCCACCCCCGAGCCCGCCCTCACTCCCCCGCCCCCGCCCCCCAGGAAGGACCGCAAGATGGCGCTGATCCAGATGGGCTCGGTGGAGGAGGCCATCCAGGCGCTCATCGACCTGCACAACCACGACCTGGGCGAGAACCATCACCTGCGGGTCTCCTTCTCCAAGTCCACCATCTAGGGCCGCCGTGGACCAGCCTGCCGGCGCCCGGCCACAACTTCCATCATTCCAGAGAAAAGCCACTTTAAAAAGCAGCTGAAGTGACCTTAAAAGACCAGAGATTTTATTTTTTTAAAAGAGAAATCAGTTTACCTGTTTTTAAAAAAATTAAATCCAATTCACCTTGCTCACCCTGGGGAGATGGGGTGCCGGCCTCAGGCTCTTGGTGACGAGTGGACAGTGTGCCCCACTCCCTCCCCAGCCCCCCAAGCCCGTGCCTTCTGCAGCCTCTGTGGGGTGGGCGCTCCCAAACCTCGACTCGGCTTTCTTGTGCCTTAAAACCCGCTGCTCTGGCAGGGCCCTCTCGCGGCAGCAGACGCGTGGGCGGGGGGCCGGGGGCCGGTGGGTGGGCCTCCCGCGTGGGATCATGTGCCTGGTGCAGCGGGAGGCTGTGAGCTGCAGGGTCCAGCCGGCACCCCCAATCCGTTTAATCAAGTGTGTGATTCGCCCCTGACCCGGGGCAAGCCCCCGAGGGCACCATCCCTGTCCTCCTTCAGCTCCGAGCTCTCTGTCCACCGTAAGCTCTGTATTAGGCTTCGATGCAGTTGCACACACCCGTGCCTAGCAATACTTCCAGTTGACCAAATATTCTAATCTCTTCATTTATATGCAAAAGACCTAGTTTTAAGTAACTTTTTATATAGCAAGATAAAAATGGTATGAGTGTAATCTCCATTTCCTCCTTGTGGTATGACCTTGCATACTGTACTTTTCTATTTTATTCCTTGTAATGAAGTCGCAGGGCAGGACCTAGTTTTCCAGGGCGGCCGGCTGGGGGCCAGCGCAGGGGAGCCTGGTCCTTCCCGAGGACACCTCCAGATGCCTTACTCACACCTAACCTGTCCTCCCTCTGGGGGGACGAGCGCTCTTAAAACTTTCAGGGTTTCCGCTCTCCTGCAGATTTTGGACCAAAGTTTTTTTTTTTTTTTTTTTTTTTTTTTTTTGTCTGCCTCTAACGCTGGGGCCCGGAAAGTGGGACAGCGGCCCCCGAGTCTTAACTGTCTCCCGCACATCGTCCTGCGCTCAGGGTCCACGGGGCTCCCCTGTGAGCAGACCGTGTGCTGGCCAGCCCCTCCCCCGGGCCTGGACCCTCGAGTTTCCGTGTTGGGGTGGAACAAGGGTGTAAATATTTATAATTTTTTTATACCTGTTGTAAAACGAGGGGCAGCAAACATGGTTTTTTATAAAGGTGACACAGATGTATATTTTGGTAACCCGCAGTTACAGGCTCAGTATTGTGAGGGGGACGCGGCACATTCCATTGCCCACCCTACGGCTTGTAATGCAGAGAGAACCGAATTAAAGCGATTTTACAACTCGACCTTTTCTGTAGGCTCTTTCTTCCTGCTCACATTGTAGAGGCCCCCGGCCAGTCTGCTGGACTTTGGAATAAATGTCTCTGCACCCTGCACTCGATTTCCTCTTTATTCCGCCTGTTCGTCTTCACTGCTGTTTCCTCTTCCGTGTGAATTGAGCGTTTTGTCTCCCTCACCGGTGACGGGGGCGGGTGGGCTCAGGGGAGCCGAGAATGTGGGACCCGGCCCCCCCCACCCCCGAGTGTAGGACGCCCCCCTCCCCACCCCCGCCGGGCAGTGGGCGTGTCCTCGGACCAGTGACTCACAGGACTCGCCGGTATCGACCTTTTATTGTCCGATCGTCAAGTGTCCCCCCTCCCACCCCCGCCCGCCCAGTGGCCTCCAGCTGCGCCCCCATGCGGCCTCCCAGCCCCCCATCAGTCCTTGAACCTCCGGGCCGCCTGCATCTTGCGGTAGTAGCTCTCGGCCTCGGCCTCGCCCGCGGCCTCCCGCTCGCCCAGCACCAGGCCGCTGGCTTTGCGCCTCAGCGTGGACTCGCGGCTGGCCGGCCCCAGCGCGCCGTCGGCCACGCTCAGCGGGGGCAGCCCCTCGCCGGTGGCCAGGTTGACCGTGGCCACGGCCCCGAACCGCGGCTCCTCTTGGTCCACGTCGCTGATGGACGAGCCGGGGGACACACCCGGCGGCTTGGGCCCCCCGCGGAAGCCGCGGGCCAGGTCCCCCAGCTCGTAGCCGCCCTCGCCCTCCACCCCCTTGGCCGCGCCGCCGGCCGTCTTCCACTCCCAGGGCCCGTTACCCGCGGACAGGTGGACCACGGGATGGTGGGGCGCGTGCGCGTCGATGGTGACGATGCTGGCCGAGTCGCGGTCCGACGGCGAGCGGTACTGCGAGGAATCGGAGCTGGCGCTGGAGGACGAGGCGGTCTCCGCCACCTTGGGGCCAGGCCCGCCCGGCGCCTTGGACATGGCGATCACCTGCAGCAGCCGCGGGGGGTTGGCCACGCGGGGTTGTGCGGAGGCTGCCGCCGCCGCCGCCGCCCCGCTCTTCTCTGCCATCATGAGCCACTTGGCCCGCACGGCCGCACTGCTTTTGGGAGACAGGCCCGCGGCCGCCTGCGCCCCCTCCTCGGGGATGTGCACCAGCGGCTGGGGCCCAGCTCGCGGGGGGAGAATGACCCGAGGCCCCAGACCCGGCCGGGCCTGGACGGTGGGGTAGAGTGAGGGTGGGGCCGGACCGCCTTCCTCGCCCTCCTCCTCTTCCTCCTCTTCCTCCTCCTCCTCCTCCTCCTCCTCCTCTTCCTCCTCCTCCGCCATGGGCTCCGCAGGTGCCCGCAGGTGCCCGGGGCTGGCCTCGTCGGGCAGCCCCAGGCCACGGCCCTCCAGCGACTTCTGCTTCCACTCACTGATGAGCTGCTTGGAGCGGGAGGCGTCAAGGGGCACGTGGATGGTCATGTGGCGGCGAGCGGGGTCATCCAGGGAGGGCGTGCTGACGCGGGGCAGCGTGTGGCTGAAAGTGACCATGTTCTCCTTGCCCATGGGGCTGCGCGGGGCCAGCAAGTCCACGTCCACACTGGCCCGCTTTAGGCTGCCCAGTGATGTCTTCTCTCTGGCTACGGGCCGGGGCACGCCTTCCAGCCGCCCTGGCGGGCCCAGCTCGTCCGTGCTCACGGACTTGTTCTGCTGGTACACGGAGTCGTGGCCCCGCTGGGTCAGAGCCCGAAGCGCATCCTTGGCAGGGGCCAGCGCCGTCGGCTTCTCTGCAGTCGGGGCCTGGAAGTTGCCCACAGCGTGGCAGGCCTGGGGGTGAGGCAAGGGCTGAAGACCAGGGATCTCACCACGCAACAGACCTGCCAAGGCGGTCCGAGGGGGGAAGGCTGGCCCTCAGTGCAGAATCAGAGGACTGAGTCCCACTCTCTTCCCAATGGGGCAAGCTCCGGTCATGCCACTCAGGCTCTCAACATTCAGCAAGTCTGAGCCCAAGAGATTCTGACTCCAGCATTCCAAGGGAGGAGACTCACCAGGGTCCCCCCAGGGTAGGGCCAGGCCTACCCCCTCGGATGTCCCCCTGGGGGCCGGCCTCCACCCTGGACCTGCCCCTCGGGGCTGGCCTCCACCCTCAGACCTCCCCCTCGGGGCTGGCCTCCGCCCTCGGATCTCCCTCCACCTCGGACCTCTCCCTGAGGGCCGGCCTCCACCCTCGGACCACCCACTCAGGGCTGGTCTCCGCCCTCAGACCTCCCCCCACCTCGGACCTCCCCCTGGGGGCCGGCCTCCACCCTTGGACCTCCCTCCACCTCGGACCTCCCCCTGGGAGCCGGCCTCCACCCTCAGACCTCCCTCTGCCCTCGGACCTCCCCCGGGGGTCGGCCTCCACCCTCGGACCTCCCCCTGGGGGCCGGCCTCCACCCTCGGATCTCCCTCCACCTCGGACCTCCCCCTGGGCGTCGGCCTCCACCCTGGACCTCTCCCTGGGGGCTGGCCTCCACCCTTGGACCACCCACTCGGGGCTGGTCTCTGCCCTCAGACCTCCCCCCACCTCGGACCTCTCCCTGGGGGCTGGCCTCCACCCTCGGACCACCCACTCGGGGCTGGTCTCTGCCCTCAGACCTCCCCCCACCTCGGACCTCTCCCTGGGGGTCGGCCTCCACCCTCGGACCACCCACTCGGGGCTGGCCTCTGCCCTCGGATCTCCCTCCACCTCGGACCTCCCCCTGGGGGTCGGCCTCCACCCTCGGACCTCCCCCTCGGGGCTGGTCTCCGCCCTCGGACCTCCTCCCACCTCGGACCTCCCCCCGGGGGCGGGCCTCCACTCTCGGACCTCCCTCCACCTCGGACCTCCCCCTGGGGGCCGGCCTCCACTCTCGGACCTCCCTCCACCTCGGACCTCCCCCTGGGGGCCGGCCTCCACTCTCGGACCTCCCTCTGCCCTCGGACCTCCCCCCGGGGGTCGGCCTCCACCCTCGGACTTACCCCTCGGGGCTGGCCTCCACCCTCGGATCTCCCTCCACCTCGGACCTCCCCCCTGGGGTCGGCCTCCACCCTCGGACCTCCCCCTCGGGGCTGATCTCCGCCCTCGGACCTCCCCCCGGGGGCGGGCCTCCACCCTCAGACCTCCCTCTGCCCTCGGACCTCCCCCCGGGGGTCGGCCTCCACCGTCGGACTTACCCCTCGGGGCTGGCCTCCGCCCTCGGATCTCCCTCCACCTCGGACCTCCCCCCGGGGGCCGGCCTCCGCCCTTGGACCGCCCCACCTGGGGCCGGCCTCCCCGTCCCCTCACCAGGTAGGCGGCGATGCCAGCCCCGATGAGGAAGCCCGCGTAGACGTCCACCGGGTGGCTGCGGTACTGCGTGATCTGGGTGAGGCCGCAGACGCCCGCCGCGATGGCGAAGGCGAACACCAGGATGGGCTTGAGCAGCTTGGTGGTGTCCGAGATGACCGAGTTGAAGTACATCTGGGGGCGGGGCGGGGCGGGTCAGAGCGTGGCTCCCCGCCAGCCGCCGGGCTCGGGCTCGGGGCAGGCCAGGACTCACCGACACGTAGACCGCAGCGAAGGCGGACAGCGTGGCGTGCTGTGACGGGAAGGTCTTCCTGTAAGAGGCGGCAGGTGAGCGGGCGGGCTCCGCGCCCCTCGGGGCCTCCGGCCCCCGCCCCGCACGGCTGGGCGGGGGCCAACTCACCGCGCAGACAGGATGGCGTGGGTGTCGTGGCCGGAGCAGATGTCCTGCGTGATGTAGGGGTTGGCCTCGCACGACGTGGCCAGCAGCGTGTAGTTGGGCTTGCAGACCGTCAGGAAGAAGGGCGCGTGGTAGCCGGTGGCCAGCTGGATGACGTCGGTCACCAGGGCGGTGGCGCACAGGCCGAACACGTGGACGCCTGCGGGGCAGCGGGGTCAGGGCTGGGGAGGGGAGCCGGCGCGTGCACACGGAGGGCGTGGGGGGGGTGCCCTCTGGCGAACTCACCCACAAACCGCACCGTGCGCCGCAGGAAGGAGTTAAAGCTGCAGCCCCCCGCGCTGATGCTGCCCTCGGTCCCGCCTGGGCCCCCGCCGCGGCCCCACAGCCGGGACTGCAGACAATACAGCATGCCCTCGCCGACCATGATCTGCCCGACAGGGAGGCGTTCAGCCAGGCTCCCGGCCAGGGGGTGCCCACAGGCCAGCCCAGGCCCCCCGGCGCCTGGGACTCACCGAGGCCGCGGGGGCTGCAAAGGCCAAGCTGAGCAGCATGAGCAGCGGGATGAGCTCCTCGTTGGTCTCCACGTAGGGCATGGAGAGCGTGCGGTCATAGCACTGGAAACCCACCTTGGCCGGCTTGAAGAGGTCGGTCAGCTCCAAGAAGTAGAGGGACACGACGGAGGACGCCACTATGGGGAGCTGCAGGAGGGCGGCAGCCAGGGTCACCCCACCCTTGCTCACCGAGCCGCCCGTCCACTACCCATGCTGCGGTCTGGCCGTCCGGCCGCCGTCCTTCCCTCACTCGGGCCTCGAGCAGCTACTGAGCTCAGATTTGGGCGGACCTTCTGATGGGCGCGGACTCTCCCAGCGTCCTACACCTTCCCTTCTGGGCCACAGAACACCCACAGGGGCCAGGCTGGGGCTGGCACTATGGGGACCAGAGTATGCGGGTGCCTGGGGGGCTGGCTGCCTCAGGAAGTCCCCCTCTCCAGTTCATGGATGGGGCCCCAGACGCAGATGAAGCCCACGAGCCACGAGAGGCCTCCCTCTTCACTCCTGCCTTGAATGGCACTTTAAGGGGGGGCCTCGGCCCTCACTCCTGCCCTGACCGGGGGTCCCCAGAGGGGAAAACGCCAAAGGTGGGCTTGTAGAAGCTGGGCTCTAGTCCAAGGAGCACTTATTGAGCGCTTGCTGCATGCAGGAATGAGGCCCAAGGCAGTTGAGTGAAGGGGTTCCCAGCCATCTGCTGGACTCGAATCCTGGCTCCACCACTCCGCTCTCCGCTGTGCCTCAGTTTCCTCAGCTGAAAACAGGACTGAGAGTCACCACGTCCCAGGGCTTCAAGGTAGAACTGGGTGAGTAAGTATACAGAAGGTGCCTACACAGTGCCCAGCACACGCAGAGACTTCAGTAACAGTAGCTGCAGTTATTCCCTCCTCCGTGACCATGAGCACAACTGGGCTGGGGCGGCCCTACCACGTCAGGCAGTGGACAGGGTTTTCGGCGGGGCTGGGCAAGAGGGTCCTTGGAAGTGTCCTTCTCTGCTGAGGCCCTCATGGCTTTCCAAGCCTCCAGGCTGCAACGCCTGCCTGACTCCCCACTCCTGCCCTCTGCCCCCACCTCCTCCCAGCCGGAAACACCTGCTGGCGGGGGCCCACTCTGGAGCCCACCACCCCCAGAGGGTGTCTCTGTGCCACCCACTTCTCCTTGCATCTGGAGACTCTTACCCAGAAACCAGGGAGCATATCAGGCCCCCAGGAAAATGATTCACGATCATGATGTCCTCCTGCCCATGTACTTAATGTGTGTGTGTAAACACATTTATGTAAGACTCACAATAAGAGAAAAGCAAACTAGAGCAGACACAGCCTTGCACCCATCGGACTGGCCGAGCTCCAGAGCTCTAGGTGCCAGCCAGTAACGGGGACGGGCGCCCTGTAAAAGTCTGGCCTCCACAGGGGGCAACTTGGGGTCTGTCGGCAGGGATGTGATCTGCAGATAAGCTCACGCTTGGCAGACCAAAGGCCTTTCCTTACAGGAACGTCCGCGACAACCCCTGAATGTGCAGCTACCCGGGGTGGTGACTCGGAGCTGGGGTACTACACGGCCCTGCAAAGGGGTGGGTCAGAGGGAAGCTGAGAGCTCCCCTGGGAAAAAGCCAAGAGCAGAAACTTGTCTAAAAAGGTGTTGGGGGTCCTGGGATCGAGCCCCGCATCGGGCTCCCTGCTCAGCAGAGAGCCTGCTTCTCCCTCCCACTCCCCCTGCTTGTGTTCCCTCTCTCGCTGTGTCTCTCTCTGTCAAATGAATAATAAATAAAATCTTAAAGAAAAAAGGTGTTGGGGAAGGGCTGCACGTCTGACAGATGTGAGTGGGTGTGTGGAACACTTTCTGGAGGATGCAGGTGAGAGCAGGGGGTGAGGAGGACCGCAGGGAGGGAGCAGGTTTGCGGTGACCCTGAGAAGATACAACCTACTATGATGGGGATTTGAATGCAAATTTGAAAACAATCAGATTTTCTGCTCCTTGTGGAGGGACCCACTGGCCTGGGGGTGAGCCACTGGCTTTGTGACCCTGCACGTGGGGGGGGTTGCTCAGGATGGGGAACCCCGCTCATCTACCTGCACCCTGCCTGGACCCCTCTGTGGAGTGGGGTTTTCGTGGCAGGCGCAGCAGGGGGACCGTGGCCACAGGACGTATCCAAGGATGGATAAATACCACCCTGTGTGGTCATCAGCACTATGTGTCAGGCGACTGCGTTTAAATTCTATTCTTTTAAACATTCATAAAGCCCTCACTGTGTGCCAGGCCTGTTCTCTCAGAGGCTTATGGGACTCGCCCCAGCCTCCTCGGTTAGCAGAGGAGGGGTCTGAACTTAGACCCTGATGCCTCATAGCCCACGTGCTGGAGGAAGACCCTGCACGGCCCCAGCGCCTTGCTCCAGCCCCTCCAGGTGACCTGTACCCCAGTCTGAATGTCCCACTTGCCAGAATTTGTGCCGGCTGTTTCCTTAGCCCAGAACGCCCTTCTGTGCCTCTCGAACTCCTACTCACCCTGCACAGCCCGATTCCTCTGACCCCCACACCCAGGCGCCCTGGCTGTGCCCCTACCTGCGGCCGACCCGAGCTGTGCCCACCCCAGTCCTTTAGCGTAGAGGTCCCTGAGGGCGTGTAGGACAGAGGCCTTTGCCCCGCCCCCACCGGTGCGACGCCCCCGCCCCCCCCACTCACCTCCACGAAGTAGAAGCAGGGAAGAAGCGTCATGCTGTCCTTTGGGGTTTTATTCTTCTCCTTGGTCGCGATCATGGTGCCGCGGGCTCCACAGGCCGTGGTTGGAGGGGACAAAGACGCGCTGGAGGAGGGGAGGCGCAGTCTGAGCCCTGGGGGGACCCGGTGCCCAGGGCCTGCGGGGGAGGGGCGGGCAAAGATACGCCAGAACCTCCCGGGGAAACTGAGGCTGGGGGGAGAGGGGTGTCCCCGCGGCCTCCCCTCGCGCACTGCGGCCCTGCCAAGCAATCCAGCTGCCGGGCACCCCCACACACCCCAGATGGGGGCTCGGGGGGGCCCAGTAGAGGGCGGGGCCGGCCTGATTTAGGAGTCCCCGGGCCGGGGCCGCTCCCCGCGTCAGGGCGGGGGCCCCCGGGAAGGGGCGGAAGGAGGGTCCCGGCGGCCGGAAAAGGGGTGCGGCCCGGGCCCTCCGCCCGCAGTCCCCTCACCTGGCGCGCGGGCGCTTGGAGGGCGGAGCCGGCGGCCGCGGCGGGCAGGGGCTGCGGCGCGGCGAGCACAAAGCGCGGCCCTTCCCCCGCGGCGGCGGAGGGGAACCGCGACCGGGAGGCGGGGAGGGGAGGGGGCCCCGCCCGGCCCGAGACCCCGCGCCCGCGACGGCCTACGTGCGGCGCGAGGGGCGGCGGCTCTTTGTCTCGGCGCGTCGGGGGCGCTGCGCGCGTCCGTCGCCGGGCTGCCTCCCGGGGCGTGCGCTGAGTGCGCGCCGGGCTCCCGCCTCCTGGGTCTGGGGGCCTCGGGGGTCTCTGGGGTCTCGGGTCCCCGTAGTGGCGGGCTAGGGCCGGGGCCGGCGCTCCCCTCCCCTCCCGGGCCCCTCGCGTCGGCCTCGGGAGCCCCATCGACGCTGGGCGCGGGGCGGGGTCTCTGGGTCCCTGGGTCCCTGGCTGCCCCTGCGTGTCCCCGGGTCTCCCGCTGTCTCTGCCCGCCCCACGCCCCGTCTCCGTCCCCTCCCCGGGGTCCGCCGCTCGGCGGCGCACGTTTCCTTGGCGAGGGCCCCGGGCGCCGGCGCTGTCTGGAGACAAAAGAGGCTGGGGGGCTTCTTGCCCTGGCTCCCTACCGTGCCGCCCCCGCCCCGTGCGCCCACCGGCGGTCTGCCCTGGGCTCCACCGGTCTGCAGGCCCCTCGCCAGGCTCCCAGCGGGCCGGGGCGCACGGCAGGATGCCCCGGGATTGCGGGGGCGGCGGGTACGGTCCTCCTGGTGAATACGGGGTGCGCACCTAGGCAGTGCTTGCTGTTGACGGGTGTTCCCTCCTTACCACACACACGCATGGGGAGGACAGACTGGCTGACCCTTCATTTTATGAATGGGGAAACTGAGGCCCAGAGAACTTAAATCACTGTCCAAGGTCGCCAGGCCCCAAACGACAGGCCTTTATTCGGTTCATTTATTCACCATCTCTTGAACACCCACTGTATACTCGGCCCTAGGGAGTCCCTGGGGAGCCACTGGCAAGTGGGACGGACCCTGACTACCAATCCTGAAGTTAAGCGTCTCATTAGAGTAGGGGGTGGGGGCTGCATTAATTGAGCGCCTACTGTTTGTCGCCCCTGGTCTTTATTTCTATTCAGCCCTGTAGACCCCATCCCCATCCTGCTTGGACCCTTCCTGTTTTGAAAGAGACAGCTCCGTGGGTTTTGCAAGACGAAGGTCTGTGTGGTGAAGACTGAGTTCCAGAGGGTTCAAATCCCACCGGGGCCTCAGTTTCCTCACCTGTAAGTGGGCATGACAAGTGCTGCACCAGGCTGGCTGTCCCACCTCCCCAAAACCTCTGTGTGGGCCTTGGTTTCCTCTGCCAGCCAGGGGCGGCCCCAGGGCGGTGGTTGGGAATCCTGGTGTTGAAAGGTGACCACAAACAGCCCTCCAGAGGCAGGAGGAGAAGGGGAAAATGGGGCAATCCCTCTTGGGTGCTTCCTGGGGGCAGGAGCAGGAAGGCTTATCCTGGGGGACCCTCCTGACATCGCGGGGTTCTGGGAGAGGGTGTGGGGGAACCTAAGGATCAGGGACGGAGGTCCTTCCTCCAGGTGAGGGATCCCTGGTGATGGAGGGGGGGCAGGGCCGGGCTGTGGTGGCACATTGCCCAGCTGGGGAGCCTGGACTTGAGTCTGGGACACTAGAGAGCCATGGGGGAGCTTAGAGCAGGAAAGAGGGGTTGAGCACACTGGGTGCTGCTCAAAAACGTACCCATATTAATTCACTCACCACAGCTCTTGAGGGATTGATGAGGCAGCAGGTGTGAGCAGGGACCCTGAGGTCACCCAAGTGGGAAGGGATGGAGCTGGGTCTCCAGAGCCAGTCCTTTCTCCTGGTCCATGGGAGAGGAAAGGGTGGACGGGCGGGATCAGGAGGGGAAGCAGACATGAGGGCACTGGACTGAGGCAGAGGCCCGAGGGACACAAAGAGACACTGCACCATGAGGCTCGGTGAGGACCAGGCCCAAGCCCCCAGGACCCCAGCATTCCACCCTGACTCCCACTCCCCAAACCACCCGGAGCTGCCCGTGGGAGGGAAGAGCACCCTGGAAGAGCCACCCACAGCCCCAGACACACACTGGTGTCCCTGAGGCATTGGGGGACCACCACCCTTCCCAACCTCTCAGTCTCACCTTGGAAATAAATCCCATTTAAAAAAATTAGCTGTTTTAAGGGATGCCTGGGTGGCTCCGTTGGATAAGCGTCTGCCTTCGGCTCAGGTCATGATCTCAGGGTCCTGGGATCGAGCCCCGCATCGGGCTCCCTGCTCCACGGGGAGCCTGCTTCTCCCTCTGGCCCTCCCCCCTGCTCTTGCATTTACACTCTCTCTTTCTCTCACTCTCAAGTAAATAAATAAAATCTTTTAAAAAAATGAGCTGTTTTAAACTGTGCCATGCAATGGTTTTTTAATATCTTCACAGAGTTGTGCAACCATCACCACAGTCTAATTCCAGAACATTCCATCACTCCAAACAAACCCCGTCCCCATCAGCTGTCACCCCCAGCCCCTCCCCCAGCCTCCAGCCCCCACGGGCCCCCTTCCCGTCCGTGGATGAGCCTGTTCTGGACGTGTCACCCACGTGGACCCACACCCCGCGTGGCCTTCCGTGTCTGGCTCCCTCCCTGAGCGTCATGGGCTCGGGGTCCGTCCCCGGGGCAGCGCGTGTGGGCCCCTCGCTCCTGCTCGCTCCCGCATGTGGTGGACCTAGTGTGTATCTGCTCACAAGTTTATGGACGTTCTTCTGACTGCTGCGAACATCCGTGGTGCATATTTATCTGCGTCGCTGGGCATGCACCTGCTCAGGAGTGTGACTCTCTGCAGGACTTTCTGAGGAACAGCCAGACCGTTTCCCTCAGCGCCCCCGGCTCGCACCCCCCAGCAGTGCCCGCAGGCTCCGACTTCCCCACACCCTCAGGTTCCGTGATCTTTCCTTGGAGCTGTTCTAGTGGGCATGGAGCGGTGCCTCGGGCCCGTCTGCACTTCCCCAGAGACTCACGATCTCCAGCATCATTTCAGGGCGTGTTGGCCATCTTCATCCTGTCTTTGGGGAGTGTCCACTCAGCTTCTTTGCCCGTTTTGAGACTGGACCATTTGTCTTTCTGTTGTTAGGCCTAAGAGTTCTTGATATATTCCGAATACCCAATCTTGCCTTTCTCTCCCCTTGGTCCCTATCTCTTGCCGGGTCCTGGATGTCTTAGACCTCCGAAGACCCTGCTGAGAGATGGGGGAGGGGAGGCCACTTCCGCACCGACCCCCAGCTCTGGGGACTCCACGGCCGCTCCTACCCACTTCACAGACACACAAACTGAGGGCAGGTGAGGACCCACCCGGGTTCCCAGATAAAAACTCCTGTAGGATGCTCCTCGAAGAGCTGGTCACAGAAGGCCACGGGGGGTGTGAGTCCACATGCGTGACACGTCCAAACCAGGCTCATCCACAGACGGGAAGGGGCCGGGGTGGGGGAGGGGCCACTAATGGTCAGGAGGTTTCTTTTTGGGGTGCTGGGGTGTTTTAAAACTAACATGGTGGTGGTTGTAGGGCTCTGTGAAGGCCCTAAACGCCCCTGCAGTGCACTCTTGAAATGGGTGACTCACACCCCCACGAAACGGCGAGAAAAGTAAAAAGTAGTGAAGCACACAGCCCAGAGCCAGCAGGACTCCCTCCCGGGCCTGCCGCCTCCACGGGCCCAGCACTCAGGCTGGGGAAACTGAGGCCGAAGCTGGCATTATGAGTGGCGTTAAAATCTCACCACCATGTTGGGTGTCGTGTGCTGGGTCTTGGCAACAGTGACTATCACCCACCCTCACCCACCCCTGGAGCGGGGGCTCATTTTACAGAGGGGGAAACTGAGGCACGGGGCAGGGCCGTTGGAGGGGTCCAGGCAGGCCCTGGGAGCAGTTGGTGGTGGAGGCCTTGGGCAGCATCCCGTTTTCCATCTGGGAAGGGCTGGTGCCATGCCTGGGGGAGGGGGTGCGCCTGGCTCCCCAGCCGTCCAGCCCACCCCGTCAGGCCCACACGCAGACTCCTGGCCCTGCTGGCTGGCTTGCAGGTGACCTCCGGGGCCAGCGAGTGCCCACCCCCCACCAGGCATCCCAGTCTGTGCTGGGGGTCCAGCTTCAGGAGGGAGGCCCAGGTGGGAGGGACCAGAAGGCCCCAGGCCCTGCTCCCCTGGACTTAGAGAGGGAAAGCCACGGGCCCAGCCACACAGCCAGACCTGCCCGAATGGTCCTGGACCTGGTGGGGAGGGGAGGCCCGGGGTCTTCCCAGGGATGGGGCTGAGACTGAGGTGTGCCCCCCCACCCCCAGCAGCGAGGGGACGTCAGAGCCTTGCTGGCCTCCATTCAGGCTCAGGGGACTCGCTTCTTGGCGGGGCAGGGGGAGCTGGATCCTTGCTCATTTCCTGCTTCTGGGACTGTGGTCAGTCGGTGAGGCGGAGGAGGGAGGTGGGGGGACTCCGGACAGCGGAAGGGTCTCCTCCATCTCCTCACCTGGATGCAGAAGGGGATCCAGCCGCCCGGTCCCGGGGTGGGTGTGGAAGGTCAGGGGTCCCCCCTCCGGCGTTGCTGCTGGGGAATGCCGGTCTCCACCGGGAGCCACAGCAGAGGCCGTGCCCCGAAGGACCTGCTCCTGCAGGTGGGGGCAGTGGCAACACGAGGGGGACGCTACAGGAGAGGGGAGCCCATGGGGGGCCCAGCTAGCCGGCCTTCTGCGGCGGGACACCTGTTCCAGATGTCCGCGCTCTGACAGGGCCACAGTGAACTCTTCTGCACGTCGAGCCCTACAAAGCCTCTCCAGGGCAGACACACCAGTGGGGCCATCGGGCCCCCCAGCAGAATCGGAGACTGCCCACATCCCCACATCTTTACCGACGCCGGCGGCCACGGTTGTGACATTTTTACGGTTGCTCTGGGGGAATGGTGCCTTCCTGTGTGGCCTGCATCTCCCGGGCAGGCCCCCCCTTCGGTGCTGGCTCACCCCGCGGCCGGCGGGGACCGGTATCAGCACCCACTGTCATCCTGCACGCTCCCTGCTTGCAGACCCAAGTCCTCGGTCACAGCAGAGCTAACCCGCTTGAGCTCTGCCGACCCCTGGCCTTGAGGAGTGAAGGCCCAACTTTGCCAGAAGATAAGGCCCGCCTGCATTCGGAAACCGCTTCCCGGGATGCCAGCGGGTCCGGTCAGGGTCGTGCCCACATGACGGCCCGCCCCGGCTCGCGCCTGCTGCGTGCAGCCCCCCTCCCTCGACAAAGGTGGCTTTTGGGGCCTCTGTCCACCTCTTCCCGGGTCGCCCGCTTCCCGAATAAAGCCCCCTTCCCTTTCCCACCCTCCCCTGGCTCCCGAGTATTGATTCCCTAGACCTGAGTTCAGAACAGGTTCTCAGTCCCGGGATGGACTGATGATTCACCTTCTGTGGTGGAGAAACCCCGTGGCCAGGATCCGTGGCAGTTACTGTCCAAGCTGGGATTGGACCCCGAATCTCTCTACAGACCGACAGACTGAAGTTCGTGTTGCTGAAGCTCTGGCTCCGGCTGGGCCCCAGTTCTGCCCTCTCCTGACTTGGTTTCCCCGTCCACTAGACCGTGATGCTATCCTCCACAGGGGCATAGTACCTCTGCCCCACAGACCGCCCGTGGGGGGTGGGCACCGGCTGCCAGGCGGCAGGGTGGGGGATGCCCCTCCCGCCTCCCAGCGTCCTCCACGCCACCGTGACCCCATCGACCAGGGGCGCCCCAACAGTGTGTGGGCTGGCGTCCTCGCCCACCGGGCCGGTGTCTGCCAGCGACAGGCCGTGCCCAGATCTGGCGGGCCTCCTCACGCTGGAAGAAAGCTGGTCCAGAATGAGGCCCCAGGGTCGAGTGTGGAATTGGAATTAGATGTCTCAAACATTCGAGCATTTTAACAGCGTGAGAAACGGTATTTATTAAACACCACGTGTCAAGTGCTGTGGGGTCGCTGGAGACCGTGAGGAACAGGACAGAGCAGGGCCTGCCCTTTTGGAGCTCTGAGACCCCATGGGTGGGGGGAGTCAGACATGCATCAAGGTAGAGCTGTGCACCCTCAGCCAGGGATTGTGGGTTTGTGTCCCACCTGGGGCACCAAACCCCACAAACCAACAAAACAGGTGCACACGGGACTTGGGTGGCATGCGCCCGACCCAGCCTAGAAGCATCAGGAAATTCCTGGAGGCATCTGGGACCCAAACTTCAAGTAGGAGTCTGTCAGGAAAAGGTGGGGGTGAGCATGCAGAGACAGGCACCTGCATGTGCAAAGGGCCCGGGGTTGGAACAAGATTTGTGGATTGCAGGAGGAAGGCTCAAGTTGTCAGAGCAGCAGCCAGGTCAGTGGTTCTGGGGTGGGAGTGGAGTACAGGAGCTGGGCCTGGAGGTGTCCTGGCTCAGGGAGACGGGGGCACCCTCTTCGTCTGTAACGGCCTGGCTCCTGGCACGGCCTCCTTCTGCCCAGGGCCTTGCGGCAGGAGCCCCAAAGGCTTCACTGGAGCGGCCCTCTTCCCAGCCTGTTCTCGACTCCCTGTCAGAGCAGACAAGCCTGGGGGGTGGGTGCCGTGACCTCCCGGGATCCCAGACCCGACCATCACTCCCCCCACCTCCCACACCTTGGTGCCTCCATCCTTGGCCCTCCTTATGCCCACACCCTGGGCCTCCCTGCCCTTGGACCCGAGGCTGCGACCCTAATAAATAATCCATTCTCTCCAGACTTGGGCTTTGCTGGACGGGGCGCTGCGTGGCCTCCAGCCCCAGGGGCCGTGTTCCCCGCCCGCCAAGGCTCAGAGAGGCCGGGTGACTCACCTGAGGTCACACAGCGGCCGTGAGCGCCCATCCCAGATCTGTGAGATTGCCCTTGGCCTCCTCTCATTTCGGCTGAGAATATATTGAACCGCAAAGTCAGAAGACACACAAGGAACTGGTGAAAGACTATTTGCCCCTCGAGTCCCAGAAGGGTGTGTGCCTGACATAGAAAGGGCTAAAATATGCATATTAAATAATAAATGGTGTGTAAAATAATGTATACAACACATAATGGATATGATTATATACTATGTATTGTAGTTTATTAAGCTAAATAAAATGTTATTAAGGTAAATAAGGGGCGCCTGGGTGGCTTAGTGGGTTAAGCGTCCGGCGCTTGGTTTCCTCTCAGATCGTGATCTCAGGGTCGTGGGATCGAGCCCCACGTGGGGCTCCCTGCTCAGCGGGGAGCTTGCTTCTCCCTTTGCCTCTGCCCTTCCCCGCTCGCCCGCGTGCGTGTGTGCGCTCTCAGAAACAAAAGAAGACAAGTTAAACAATACATAGTTATTATAAATGACTATATATTTACATGCCTACCGCATATATACTTAAAAACAGAAGACAGATCGTGACAATAACTCTAACCTGTAAGGAGGGCCCACAGTCAGTACGGGAACAACAACCGGTAGCAGCTAAAGGTGTAAACAGACGGTTCTCAGCAAAGAACCCCAAAAGGCTCTTGAGCAGGTGGAGACGCCCTCACCTCACTGCGGTTCGAGAGACGTGAGCCAACCTCCCGAGACCCTGCTTCTTGGCGAGCGGATGTGCCGAGAGCTGCCGTCTGAGAACCAGCACTGTGGGCGGCCACGTACACAGTCCAGTGTCCCCAGCAGGAGACCGCGGAACGCACCCGCCACGGGAACGTGGCACCGCCGGGGAGAAGGTCCGGGCTCGTCGAGCCACCCCTCGCGGGGTCTCCATGGGATGGTGGCAACGTGGAAAGTGCGTGTGGAGGGGGAGACACCTGTCGCTGGGTGGCTGGTGTCCCCAGAAGCCCGCGAACACAGCGGCTCAGCTGGGCGGGGATGCACAGAGATTTCCAGCAGGGACTTTTTTTCTTTTTCAGATTTATTTATCATTTTAGAGAGAGCGTGAGTGAGCGAGCAGGGGGAGGTGCAGAGGGAGAGAGAGAATCTCCAGCAGACGCCGCGCTGAGCGAGGAGCCCGACGACATGGAGCTCGATCCCAGGACCCCGAGATCTCAACCCTGAGGTCATGACTTGAGCCAAAATCGAGAGTTGGCCGCTCAGCCGCCCCTCCTGCAGGCACTTTTTATGCATGTTTTAGGCGGTTGAACCGTAGGAGGGTAGAAGTGAAATTAAAAATGTGATAGTAAGTTAAAGAGCAGCAATCCACCGTGGGTGCCTGGAGGGAGCCCATGACTCAGGCGGTGCTCTGAGCCTCACCGAGCGCCAGCACCGCTGACCCCGAGTCACTGGAGGTCACTTGGGGTCTGAGGCAAGCACGGACCTCGAACCTCGGGGCCCACAAGGAGACGGCACAGCTCTGTCCTCTCCTGGCCGCTGCTGGGGTTTCAGGGACTGACTTCTCCACCATGAAGGTGAGGACAGGGGCTCTCATGGGCCTGCACTCTGCCCAGAGCTGCCCCTCAGCCCCCTGCCCTGAACCTAGGTGCCCCAATGCTGCCCAGCACCCCCAGAAGCCCCCGGTGCTCAGCCAGACTGACCGGCCACCAAGGTTAGTCGAGTTGCCATTAACCCGTTTTACAGATTGGGAGGCTGAGGCCCAGAGAGGAATGTCAGTGGCTCAGGACCTGAAGAGGTGACATCACTGCCTGCTCATTGTTCAGATGGGGAAACTGAGGCCCAAGGGGGCCCAAGAGCTTCTGATCCCCCAGCCGGGAGCTGTAACACAAGTAAGGAGTATTTTTCTCTTTGAAGGAGAAGAGGAGAGAAAGGGAGACAGACACACTGCAGCTGAGCCTCCCGTGCTTTCCCTGGATGCTGGCAGATCCGCTCGAGGCCTGTGTGGCCCCCACTGGCCTGCCCCGTGGCCGTTGCCTGTTACATCACCCACAGTTGGAGAGGGAGGTGGCTGAGGCCAGGCTTCCAGGCCCACTTCCCCTCCTCCGCCAGCCCAAGCTCTTGGAGGACACCCCCCAGGGCTCCCCACGCCCTTACCAAGCCGCTGCCTCCAGGCAGCCCTGCACTTACCTGCCTGCCCCCCGGGCCCCGGTGTGACCCACACCTGGAGCAGAGCACTTGGCAGGGGTCACGAGAGCCAGGCCTGCCTGCTTTCTCTTTCTCTACCTTCCTTCCTTCTCTCTCTCTCTCTTTCTTTCTCTTCTTTCTATATTTATTTTTTGGGTTGAAGTTTAATTTAAATGCACTCCACATTCCATACAATTCAACCATTTAACAATTCAGTGGCATTTGGTACATTCACAAAGTTGTGCAACCACCACCTCTATCTGATTCCAGAACATCCCATCAGCCCAAAAGCAACCCTGTTCCATCAGCTGTCACCCCCTATCTCCCCCCCCAGCCCCCTGGCCCCCATGAGCCCCCTTCCCGTCCATGGATGAGGCTGTTCTGGACGTGTCACCCATGTGGACTCACACCCTGTGTGGCTTCTGTGTCCGGTTCCCTCCCTGAGTGTCGTGGGCTCGGGGTCCGTCCCCGGGGCCACACGTGAGGGCGCCTGGCTCCTGCTTGCGGCCACGGGACGCTCCCGTGCGTGGGGACCGTGTGTGTATCTGTTCATCCGTCAGCTAATGACTTATTACACTCCTATGTGTGTTCGGTAGCCAAAGCCCCGTGGGGTAGGGCTGTTCTCATTGTCCCACTTAACAGCTGGGGAAACCGAGGCTCAGGAGGCCGTATTTCCTGCCCAGGATCACAGAGCCCAGCAGAACCTGAGCCCAGGCAGCAGGTGTATGTCTGCCCCCAGGAGAAGAGCCTGGGAATGAGGAGGGGCCGAGCCAGGTAGGGTGGTGACAGGGACGGGGACCAGAGTGATGAGGTGGCTTCCTGCGCTTACATCACCCTCGCCGTGGGTGGAGCACTTTCCAAACATCACTGCCCTGAGGGCGGTGCTCTCCCCGTCCCCACTTCACAGTGGGGACGGGGAGACACGGGCAGGGAGGCCCGGCTGGCCCGGGTGGGGCTGGGCGCCCCGCGGCCCTGCGGTTTCTGCGGGTGCACATGGGGCACCACGAAGGCGGGGAGGTGGACGTCCCGAGGTGCGAGGATACCGGGGCCCGGGCCAACAGAAGGCATGGCCGGTCCTGAGAGCAGAACGTCTGCAGGGGGACAGACGGAGGGGACGCAGCCCTGCGCGCACAGGCTGAGTGCGTTCCAAAGGGGAAACTGACTTCACAGAGCCGCCCGACCAGGCCTCAAGGTCAGCACCCTCGGCAGGAAGATGCACGGCCCCAGCGGCCTCGGAGGGGATGCCCGAGGAGACACGGGGTTGGCCTGTGGGACTCCTGCCAAGAACGCACGACCGCTTCCAACCCCACACTAGGGCCCCTGCATGACTGGCCAGCTCCCTGCAAGCACCACAAGGGACGGGAAAGGCTGTGGGGCTGTCCCAGAGCAGAGGAGACGCCATGTGGGGTCCTGGACCAGACAAGGGACGCCAGGTGGGATGCAGGAGGCCCACAGAGGAGGCCGACTTCAAAACAACCTGCAGGCCTGATTGTTTCGGGGGAAGCTGGGGGCGCAAACCTGGGAATTCTTCCGACTTCGGCCAGCATGAAATCATTTCAAAATGAGAGTTAAAAAACATTCATTTTTTTGTTCCGAAGTTTGGTGAGCTCCTCCCTCTCTTTGTGTAGGTTTAAACTTCTCAGAAATAAATACATAGGGGCGCCTGGGTGGCTCATTTGTTAAGCGTCTGCCTTCAGCTCAGGGCATGGTCCCGGGGTCCTAGGATCGAGCCCTGCATCGGGCTCCCTGCTCAGCGGGGAGTCTGCTTCTCCCTCTGCCTCCGCCCCTTCTCCCCACTCATGCTCTCTCTCTCTGTCAAATAAATAAATAAAATATATTTAAAAAATATATCTCCTTTTCATCTGGACTTCTCCCTGCAGACATCGGCAGAGGGTCGTTCTCTGTGGGGGCCTCCGGGGCACTGCTGGGGGCTGAGCAGCACGTCCAGTGGGACATCCACAATCACCCCAGGCCAGAGCCCCTGCCTTAGAAGGAAAAAGGAATCTCCAACACGAAAGGGGGGCAGACAGATGCTTCTGTGGGTCTCTGGAGGGCACACGGCTCTGTGGCCCCCACCACCTTTTATGTCCCTTTCCTGTCCCGCACTGAGTGGGGCTCACCCCAGCCCCTAGACACGCAGGCCACGTCTTGCTTCGCTGGGGCCACAGGGACCCCAAGAGGGAAGGAGTGCGGGGAGGGGCATTGTCAGCTTCCACGCCTTGGGGAGGAGTCAGGACCCCCCGCCCAAGCCCCTGTCTCCTCCCTGGGGTGCGGTTCTGACCCCCATGTTCCCCGAGGTCCCAGAGGTGCAAGGAGGAAGTGGGGATGCCAGCCCAGCTGTGGGGCAGCCCCAATGGCCTCCCCTAGTTGGGGCTTCAGAGGGGGTGGCAGGCAGGGGGTACCCCTGGGGCCCCTGCCCAACCCTGACCACAGCCCTCACACCCGTCCTGCTGGCCCTGTGTGGGGCCACATGTCCATCTGTCTGTCTGGGCCCTGCTGATTCTGGGGCAATGTCTACTCAAGCCCGTCAGTCCAATGCCCTCACCGCAGAATGGGGACACTGAGGCAGGATCAGGGCAGGGCTCCATCCACTGCTGGGGATGAATGCTCCAAGGAGAGCGGAAGAGGAGAGAATGGGAATCTCTGGGCCATTCCGCTGTTTCCCCATCTGTAAAATGGGCAAAACCCTGAGGGTGTCGTGGGAATTACGTTTGAGCCATGAGCTCCTGGGCCTCGGGCACAGTAAGTGCTCAGTAAGTGCTGGTGGGGATGAGGGTGCACGATCGCGGATGGGGGTGTAGGTGGGGGTGCGGGTGAGGGCGCAGGTGCATGATCGGGGCCGTGGGTGCAGGTGGGTGCGGGTGGGTGCAGGTGGGGGTGCGGGTGAGGGTGAAGGTGGGTGCGGGTGAGGGTGCAGGTCAGGGCGCAGGTGCACAATCGCGGCCGTGGGTGCAGGTGGGGGTGCAGGTGGGTGCGGGTGAGGGTGCAGGTGAGAGTGCGGGTGCGGGCGCGGGTGTAGGTCGGGGCGCAGGTGCATGATCGGGGCCATGGGTGCATGTGGGTGAGGGTGGGTGCAGGTGGGGGTGCGGGTGAGAGTGCGGGTGAGGGCGCGGGTGTAGGTCAGGGTGCAGGTGCATGATCAGGGCTGTGGGTGCAGGTGGGTGAGGCTGTGGGTGGGTGTGCAGGTGGGGGTGCAGGTGCATGATCGGGGCCGTGGGTGCAGGTTGGTGTGCAGGTGGGTGTGCAGGTGGGGGTGTGGGTGGGTGTGCAAGTGGGGGTGTGGGTGGGGGTGCGGGTGAGGGTGAAGGTGGGTGAGGGCGCAGGTGTAGGTCGGGGCGCAGGTGCATGATCGCGGCCATGGGTGCAGGTGGGGGTGCAGGTGGGTGCAGGTGGGTGCGGGTGGGTGCGGGTGTAGGTCGGGGCGCAGGTGCATGATCGGGGCCGTGGGTGCAGGTGGGTGCGGGTGGATGTGCTGGTGGGGGTGCAGGTGAGGGCACGGGTGCATGATCGGGGCCGTGGGTGCAGGTGGGTGCGGGTGGGTGCAGGTGGGGGTGCGGGTGGGGGCGCGGGTGTAGGTCGGGGCGCAGGTGCATGATCGCGGCCATGGGTGCAGGTGGGGGTGCAGGTGAGGGTGCAGGTGGGTGCGGGTGAGGGTGCGGGTGTAGGTAGGGGCGCAGGTGCATGATCGGGTCCGTGGGTGCAGGTGGGTGCGGGTGAGGGTGCAGGTGGGAGTGTGGGTGCGGGCGCGGGTGTAGGTCGGGGCTCAGGTGCATGATCGGGGCCGTGGGTACATGTGGGTGCGGGTGGGGGTGCGGGTGAGGGCGCGGGTGGGGGTGCGGGTGGGGGTGCAGGTGGGGGTGTGGGTGAGAGTGCGGGCGAGGGCGCGGGTGTAGGTCGGGGCGCAGGTGCATGATCGGGGCCGTGGGTGCAGGTGGGTACGGGTGAGGGTGCGGGTGGGGGTGCAGGTGGGGGTGCAGGTGAGGGCGTGGGTGCATGATCAGGGCCGTGGGTGCATGTGGGTGCGGGTGGGTGCAGGTGGGGGTGCGGGTGAGGGCGCGGGTGGGGGTGCGGGTGGGGGTGCAGGTGGGGGTGTGGGTGAGAGTGCGGGTGAGGGCGCGGGTGTAGGTTGGGGCGCAGGTGCAGGATCAGGGCTGTGGGTGCAGGTGGGTGCGGGTGAGGGTGCGGGTGGGTGTGCAGGTGGGGGTGCAGGTGAGGGCGCAGGTGCATGATCGGGGCCGTGGGTGCATGTGGGTGCAGGTGGGGGTGTGGGTGAGAGTGCGGGCGAGGGCGCGGGTGTAGGTCGGGGCGCGGGTGTATGTCGGGGCACAGGTGCATGATCGGGGCCGTGGGTGCAGGTGGGTGCAGGTGAGGGTGCGGGTGGGTGTACAGGTGGGGGTGCAGGTGAGGGCGCGGGTGCATGATCGAGGCCGTGGGTGCAGGTGGGTGCGGGTGGGTGCAGGTGGGTGCAGGTGGGGGTGCAGGTGGGGGTGCGGGTGAGGGCGCGGGTGGGGGTGCGGGTGGGGGCGCAGGTGTAGATCGGGGCGCAGGTGCATGATCGGGGCCGTGGGTGCAGGTGGGTGCGGGTGGGTGCGCGGGTGTAGGTCGGGGTGCAGGTGCATGATCGCGGCCATGGGTGCAGGTGGGTGTGCAGGTGGGGGTGCAGGTGAGGGTGCAGGAGGGTGCAGGCGCGGGTGTAGGTTGGGGCGCAGGTGCACGATCGCGCCCGTGGGTGCAAGTGGGTGCGGGTGGGGGTGCGGGTGAGGGTGCGGGTGTAGGTTTGGGCGCAGGTGCATGATCGGGGCCGTGGGTGCAGGTGGGTGCGGGTGGGTGCAGGTGGGGGTGCGGGTGTAGGTCGGGGCGCGGGTGCATGATCGCAGCCGTGGGTGCGGGTGCGGGTGGGGGTGGGGCGCGCAGGCAGGTCAATGACGTAGGTGCTAGAGGAGTAGGAACCAGAGGTGGTCCAGGACCTTCATCCTGATGAGGATGCTACATGCCTCCGTTTGCTCGTTTGCAAAATGGTGGCCTCACTGGCTTCCCCCTCCTGCTTCTTCAAACCCTCCCTGGCCTTCAGGACTGCAAGCTGCCATCCCCAGGAAACCTTCAGAAATAGTAAGGATGCGGCTGCCAGGCTCTACTCCCCCCCCCCAAGCAGTGGCTCTGCCAGGACTCACCCCCTTCCACCAGCAGACCCCAGCCCCATGGGCTGCAAGCCATGGGACACCCATTTTACAGATGGGGAGATGGAGGCTTCGAGAGGTCCTGGGCCTGGGTTGAGGTCACACAGTGGCTCTGCCCTCCTCCCAGTCTCGGGGCTCCCTGGGCCCCAGGGGTGGCAGAAACCATGGGTGGGCAGGAAGCTGAGCCCCACTCACAGCCCTACATGGCAGGCATCCATTCAAGCTCTGTGTTGCCCACTGCCCACTGCCTGGGGTCCAGTGAGTGCGTGGAGGCCACCCTGCCCTGAGTCTAGGCAAGGAGGTGGCCCTACGCTGGGGTCTGGGCGGGGAGGTGGCCCTTCACTGGGGTCTGGGTGGGGAGGTGGCCCTTCGCTGGGGTCTGGGTGGGGAGGTGGCCCTTCGCTGGGGTCTGGGTGGGGAGGTGGCCTGGGCGGGGAGGTGGCCCTTCACTGGGGTCTGGGTGGGGAGGTGGCCCTTCGCTGGGGTCTGTGCGGGGAGGTGGCCCTACGCTGGGGTCTGGGCGGGGAGGTGGCCCTACGCTGGGGTCTGGGCGGGGAGGTGGCCCTTCGCTGGGGTCTGGGCGGGGAGGTGGCCCTTCGCTGGGGTCTGGGCGGGGAGGTGGCCCTACGCTGGGGTCTGGGCGGGGAGGTGGCCCGATGCGGGGGCCTGGGCGGGGAGGTGGCCCTTCGCTGGGGTCTGGGCGGGGAGGTGGCCCTTCGCTGGGGTCTGGGTGGGGAGGTGGCCCTTCACTGGGGTCTGGGTGGGGAGGTGGCCTGGGCGGGGAGGTGGCCCTTCACTGGGGTCTGGGTGGGGAGGTGGCCCTTCGCTGGGGTCTGGGTGGGGAGGTGGCCCAACGCTGGGGTCTGGGCAGGGAGGTGGCCTGATGCTGGGGTCTGGGCGGGGAGGTAGCCTGATGCTGGGGTCTGGGCGGGGAGGTGGCCCTTCGCTGGGGTCTGGGCGGGGAGGTGGCCCTACGCTGGGGTCTGGGCGGGGAGGTGGCCCTACGCTGGGGTCTGGGTGGGGAGGTGGTCCTTAACTGGGCCACCCCCTCCTTCCCTCCGCCCACCCCTCTCATGCCAAACTAGGTGAAGCTCCTCCCATACTCTGCAGCTTGAACTGGCCCCCTGGTATCAGGACAAGGCCCCAGGAGGGTTGAGCTCAAGCCCGGTGTCCTGACCCCAGGCCCCCCACCCCTTGTACCGCAGACGGTCAGGGCCTCCTGGGCAGCTGTGGGGAGTCACGGAGGGGGCTATGCTCTGGGTGTCTCAGGGGCAGGGGGAACCAGTGAATGGGGGGCCAGGGGATGGCACCTGGATCCCTCAGCAACTCCATCCTGGTGGGTGTGGCGTCCAGGCCCACCTCTTGTGGACCCCAAGCCCACCTGGCCAAGGTCAGCATCACTCACCTGTTTGAAGTCAACGGCAATGCACGACCCAGAGGAGAAGCTCAAAGACACTGTCCTCCTTTGGGCGGGTGGGCACCGCCAGCAGGCCTGTAGGACCCCGTCACTCAACCTGCAGTAAACATTTATGGAGCGCCTACTGTTTACAAAGCCCCATGCTGATGCTGAGACACGGCCTGGCATACAACAGGCTTCGTGGGGACAGGGCCATCCAGACAGCCCCACAATCACCCTTTGGGCACACGGGACCACCCGTGCCTCCCAGCCTCACCCTGGCCATCCCCAGATACCTCATCCCCAGCCTTGCTGCCAACCTCACCCTACTTGGTCTTGGTGTAACTTCTACCCCTCTCTGGTTTACTGTTCCCCGTCGGGCTGTGTTTCCCCCAACTATACCTTCAGGCCTCCTCCCCCAACCCCAGGTCCCTCCAACCCTGAAAATCAACACCCCCCACCCCACCCCCATGCAGAGGCAGGATCCCCAGGGCCTAGCATAAGACCACGAATACAATTGGTACTCAATAAGTGTTTTGTAGGTGAATTAATGCCACAGTGACAAATGTTACGAAGGAGAGGCCCCGGGGCGCCTGGGTGGCTCAGTCGTTAAGCGTCTGCCTTCGGCTCAGGTCATGATCGCAGGGTCCTGGGATCGAGCCCCACATCAGGCTCCCTGATCAGCAGGGAGTCTGCTTCTCCCTCTCCCACTCCCCCTGCTTGTGTTCCTTCTCTCGCTGTGTCTCTGTGTCAAATAAATACAAAATCTTTAAAAAAAAAAAAAAAAAAAAAAAGGAGAGGCCCGTGGTGTCAGAGAACATAAAACAGCCCTGGCGGGGTTTAGAGGGGTCAACAGGGCAGGATCCCTGGATGAAGTGACTTCCAGGTGGAGCCTGAGGGTGAGTGAGAGGGGCCAGGTGGAGGGGATAGCATGTACCAAGTCCTGGAAGAGGCCCTTTAGCGTGGGCAAGACGCGCATGGATGTGGGAAGCGGGCGGCCATGGGGCCTGGAGACAGCGCTCGACCCCAACTGGACCTCCCCGCCACCCTCCATGCTCAGATGGGGGGGGGGGGCAGTGCCCCCGGCAGGACCAGCTGCTGCCCACTGCACCCAGTGCCTGCCCATGGCTGGGGCTTCCCGGGCACCCCCTCACCATTGCTCAGGTCCTGCGGGAGCCTTGGTCACATGGCCAGAGGGACTTCCGAGAGGCCTGGGTGCCCTGGAGCAGAAGGGACTCTAGGGACGGCCCGAGGGACAAAGGGTGGACAGGCAGCCCACTCAGCAGCTGCAGGTCGTGCTTGGAGTCCCCACCCGGAAGGGGGGTTTCAGTGGGGTGATGTAGGGGGCCACATATACAGTAAGAGGCCAATAAACACCTGCTCTCCTCTGGCCTCATCTCCCTCCTCGTCCACACGTCCTAAAGAAAACTCCGGACTCAAATCATTTTACCCCTAAATGGCATGAGGCCACCCCCCGCCCCCTTTCCCTGACATAGACACATCCTGCCCACCTCAGCCCAGCCCGGGTGACCGACCGACCTGTCCACACCCTCCCTGGAGGACTCAGCAGCCCCTTGGCCTGCAGCTGCATCCTTCAGACCGTGGACCCCTTTGTGGTCCGGGACGGTACTGCACCCCCATGCTCCGACCTGCCCCTGTGTAGGACCTGCCCCTGAGCCACCACCCCCACAGATGCCCCAAGCGCAAGGGCCGACCACAAGCCCTGAGGTGGGAACTGTACACAAAGAATGGGCAGAAAGCTGCTTCCTCCCTGCCCTGCCCACAGGCAGCCCTTTGCCACCCCCACCCCTGCAGGGCTCTAGGAGCCCCGTACCCAGCCCCACGGCGACGTCAGGAGAAGTTGAAACTCCTCCCCAGGTTCCTGTCTGTCCTTCCTGGGTGGGAAGAGCGGCCAAGGGTCCCCAGCACCCCAGTCCCCAAGCCCCAAACTTGGGATGGGGGGGTTGGGGCAGAGGCCTGGAGATTGGGGGAGGGCCCAGGTCACAGTGGGTCTCACTTCCCGGATGCACACAGACGTGGGTGTTAATCCAGCCCTGCCAGGGTGGCCCTGGGCAAGTTGCTACCCATCTCTGTGCCTCAGTTTCCTTGTCTAGAAAATGGAGTCACCCCAGACGTTTCCCAGGACTGTCCACGGAGCCCCACCCTGGCCCTTGGGGCCCAGCTCTGTTTCCCAGCTCCCAGCACAGGGATCAGTCACCAAGGAGGCTTCCCGGAGGAGGTGGCAATGCCTGAGCTGACTGGATAGGAGTATAAGGAGTATAAGGAGAGGGCTGCCAGGCTCCGCATCAAGACAAGAGCATGAGGGAGCAAGGCCTGCAGTGTGGTTGGAAGGCAGCAAGGCAAGGAGAGCAGGGCCTGGAGGGGGTGGGCCTAGAAGAGCGGCCGGAGGCTGGGAAGAGTAAGAGTCCTTGGCCAGCTGTGGAGGGGGCGAGTGGTCACGGCAAGGAGGCCATCCAGGCTCATAGGGGACGCACAGAATCGGAAGGCAGCTCTTGATCAACTCTGCTGCCACCTGGTGGCAGCATGCACATTGGCGCAAGCGTGAGAAGCCCTCTTCTCAGCTCTGATGCGGGAGCTGACCACCGCAGGGGAGGGGTTTACGGTTTAGAGCAGCCGTGCCAGGGGCGAGCATCGTGGTCCCATCCTGGGAAATATTGCTGATGAGTGTCAGGAGGATGTCAGGAATTCCCCGAATTTCCCAGGAGCCCAAGGCAGGGAAGTGGTTTCCATAAAAAGCCCAGAGGGACCTTTAGTGCCCAGAGAGGGGGGTAAATGAGGTTTGCGGGAGGGAATGAAGCCCACTGATGGGAACACAGAGACCAGAAAGCCAGCCCCCCGCCCCCCTGGTGTTTCCCGTGGGCTCATGCCTGTGATGCTGGATCAGGAGAGGTCTGCACGCCGCAAAGATCAGACCCCAGAAGGGGAGGCCTGGGGTGCTGGGGTGATTTGCTGGAGGTGGGCTGGGCTTGTGGCAATTTGGGGAACCACAAAACCACAGGGTGGAGGCCTCAGGGAGTGAGCGTCCCGGGAGGCCGAGGTCTGCACCCGGTGGGGCCACTCCCCACAGCTCACGGGTCCCCGGCTCCCGCGGTTGGGAAAGACACTCAAGTCATGTTCTTACTGTGGCATAACTCAGACCGAGTACAATGCACGCCGCCTGCAAGCCTCAGAGTCGCCGCCACTCGGGTCTGGAATTAGAGCCTCCCTGGCCCGCGCCCCTCAAGGCAGTCACCACCCTGCCCTCCTGAAGGCGGTTAATGGTTAACAACCCTCCCTCTTTCTTCTCTAAGGACTTTATAAACCTTCATTCATTTAATCCTTGCAACAACCCGGAGACAGAGCCTAGTGTTCAAGCTGTCGTTCTATAGATGAGGACACTGAGGCACGGAGGGGTAGAGTCGGTGGCCTGGACTGGTGCAGTAGGCAAGCAGCCACACGGGAATATGAACCCAAAGTCAACACACTTGACCACCACGACACGGATGAACGGAGTATACAGGTGGTGCTCAATTGATGCAGCTTTGGTTAAATCTGCTGTCCCTGCCAGAGCCACTTCCTCCAAAGACATGGCTGCCTCCACTCTCCCCCATCCCCAGACCGGAAAGGGGTGCTTGCTAAGTGCTCTATGGTCACTTTAACGAAGCAGGTTGGGGGGACCCTGCCAGGAGGGGAGGGGGCAGGACTGGTTGGTGTGCATCAGACCAAGGGAGGGATAAAGGGCGGACATTGAGCACCTGCTGTGTGCCGGGCTCTGGGACAGCAGGGCCGGCGTCCTCATCCCTGGAGAGTATGGGATTCGCTGGCCACAGGGGACAGTGAGGACCCCAGCCGTGGCCCCAGCTCTGGGCAGTCCCGGGGGCCCCGCCCGCCCATCCTGCAGATGGATCCGTTGGCTCCCTCCCCTGAACCTTGCCTGAGCCAGGAGAACGTTGCTTCTTGCGACAGCTGGGCCTGTTGTAGTTGGAGCATCCCGGGGGAGGCAGGAAGTGCAACAGGGGTCATGGGCTGGGGGCCGGGCCCTGGGGACCCCAGCTCCGTTGTTCTCCGAGTTCTCCTGCTGCTCCAGGCAGGAGCGCCCCAACTAAGAGGAGGTTAGGTCCAGCCCGCAGGCCTGGGCTGGAATCCGGCAGTGCCGCTCAGGCGGGCAGGGGGCTCAGCCAGGCTCAGGGAGGTGGGGGTTGGGGCCTGCTTCCCAGAACTTCTGCCGGCGGCCGGATGGCGACCAGGCCCCGGCTGAGAGTTACAGCCAGGAAGGCTGGAGGGCCAGGCCCTGATCGGGAGGGGCTGCAGACCACCCTCCTGCTGGGAACCATGGGGCCTGGCGCCAACCCCAGGTCTCCTGGGGGGGGGCGGTCACTGGACAGGAACTGATGGGGAGGCCCTCACTCTCTTCATCTCAGACGGGAACCCAGCAGCCCGGCCGCCCCTGTGGAATGTCAGGACAGTGCACGGTGTCCTGGGTAAACTGAGGCACGTGGGGACCCCAGCCAAGGTCCTTCAGGACTAGGGTGCCAGATTTCATAAAAACACAGGACGCCTAGTTATACGTGAATGTCAGGTAAACAGTGACTGATAGAGAAGTGTGTCCCGTGCAATATTTGGGAGCTACTTACTCTAAAAGAAATTTGTTTATCTGACCTTCCATTTAATCGTGCAGCCCTAGCGGAGACCCTGCTAGAGCCAACCTGGGCCCCTCGCGCCCCTCCTCCCACCCCCTCTTCCCACCACTCGCCCCCCCAGGGCGGGGGAGAGGAAGTGGGGACACGTGGCCCCACCGTGGGGCAACTGCAACGGCCTCCGGGCGTGGGGCTATAAGAGGGGCAGGTGGGCGCAGGGGGCAGAGACGCCAGAGCCCCGGCCCGGCCATGACTCCGAGCCGCAGCGCCTCCCGCCCCGCCCTCGTGCCCCTGCTGCTGGCCATGCTGCTGGCTGGTGAGTGGGGCCACGTGTCTGTCCGTCTGTCTGTCCCTCTCCACTTGCCCTGGACCCTCACGGCCCCTCACCCTCGTGGGAAGGTGGCAGCCGGGACGAGGAGGCCCTTTTGCAGAGGAGGACGTGCGTTCTGAGTGGTCAAGCCGCCGAGGGAGCCCAGAGCCGGGGTTTGAACCAGAGGTCACGCTCTGGGGACCCCGAAGCCGTCAGGTCTCAGCCTGGCTGTGCCGGGTTGGGGTGCGGGGTGGTGGCAGGCCCCTTCTGCCCTCCGCGCCTCAGTTCCCTCCCCTGGGCCACAAGCCCGTGAGGAGCCCTAAGCCTGCTGTTAGGTCCAGGGGGCACTGGCCCCCGGGCTGGGCTCCTCCGTGGCGCTCACCGCCCCACCCCCACCCCGCGTCCTCAGGCCCGGCACTGGCCTCGGAGATCGTGGGTGGCCGCGCCGCCCAGCCCCACGCGTGGCCCTTCATGGTGTCCCTACAGCGGCGAGGAGGTCACTTCTGTGGTGCTACTCTCATTGCCCCCAACTTCGTCATGTCGGCTGCCCACTGCGTGAATGGTTTGTGAGTCACATGCCTACCCTCCTGGGAGCCCTGTCTCCACGTCTGTGTCACAGGGAGAGTGGGACCAGGAGCCCGAGGTCCTCCCAGGGGCCCGCCCCTGCCCGCCCCGTGCCCGCATCAGCGCACCTTCCCCACCGGGCCCCCCTGGGCTCTGGTGGGGCCCGGCTGAGCTCTGGGGGCCTCCCCACCACCAGGACCACCTCCAATCACCTCCTGCTTCCCCACCACCAGGACCACCTCCAATCACCTCCTGCCTCCCCACCACCAGGACCACCTCCAATCACCTCCTGCCTCCCCCTTGCTGCAGGAACTTCCGTTCGGTGGTGGCAGTGCTGGGGGCACATGACCTGGGGCAACGTGAGCCCACCAGGCAAACATTCGCCATCCAGCGGGTCTTTGAAAACGGCTTCGACCCCCAGAGGCTGCTGAATGACATCGTGATCCTCCAGGTGCGGAGCTGGGCAGGCCAGGCTGGGGATGCCCAAGAGGGGACCCGGCAGGTGCAGAGGCCCAGGGGCAGGATGCCTGGGGAGGGGGCCAGAGACTGGGGGACATGGTGGGGCCCCAGCTTTAAGTGGGTACACGACCCCGTTGTGCCTCAGTCTCCACCTCTGTAACAGGGGGAAATAAACCCCGCCTGGCAGGGCTGTTGAGAAATTAAATGAGATGGGGCGCCTGGGTGGCTCAGATGGTTGAGCGTCTGCCTTCGGCTCGGGTCATGATCCCAGGGTCCTGGGATCGAGAGTCCCGCATCGGGCTCTCTGCTCCTTGGGAGCCTGCTTCTCCCTCTGACCCTCTCCCCTCTCATGCTGTTTCTCTTTCGCTCGCTCGCTAAAAAATAAATAAAATCTTTAAAAAAAAAAAAAAGAAATTAAATGAGATGATACGGGAAGCTCTGAGCCGTTGTCAATCAACAAACTGTTGTTATTTGTGTGGCCGAGCACAGGGACAGTTCCTGTCTTTGTGAAATGGGGCCAAACTCCCCCCATTCAGCTGGTGGGAGACGTAAGGGTGAAACCCTCCCTTCCCCACTGCTTGCAAAGTTATGATTAGCCTCTGGGAATGTTCTAGAACAAGGGTTTTATTGTCATTGCTGTTGCCCACAGTGTGTTTTATTGAGTACCCACTGTTTACTGCATTCAAGGCATGTCCAGAGATGCTCTGGGCCACTATGGTTGCTCCCACTGTAGAGATGGGGAAACTGAGGCTCGGGGCAAGGAGCACCTTGCAGGGTGGGTGTCCTGCTCCGTAAGATCCCAGGACCACGGTGATACCTCAGCTGGGGAAACTGAGGCCCAGGGAGGGGAGGGTCATGGCCACCACCCCCTGTGACGCTCTGACGCTCTGTCCCGCCCACCACAGCTCAACGGGTCAGCCACCATCAACAGGAACGTGCGGGTGGCCAGGCTGCCTGCCCAGAATCAAGGTGTGGGCAGTGGGGTGCCGTGCCTGGCCATGGGCTGGGGCCAGCTGGGCACGACCCGGCCACCGCCCAGGATCCTGCAGGAGCTCAACGTGACCGTGGTGACCACCCTCTGCCGCCGAGCCAACGTGTGCACGCTGGTGCCCCGTCGGCGGGCTGGCATCTGCTTTGTGCGTACCCCCCGCCCCCCGAGGCTCCACCCCACTCCCGCCTGGGCTGCAGCCGGAGTCCTGGAAGCCCAGCCTCCCAACCCCGTCTGTCTCCACAGGGGGACTCTGGCGGGCCACTGCTCTGCAACGGGCTGGTCCAGGGCATTGACTCGTTCATCCGCGGAAGCTGCGGCTCCGGGTTCTACCCGGACGCCTTTGCTCCAGTCGCACAGTTCGCAGACTGGATCAACTCCATCATCCGCCGCGGCCACGACCGCCCCTCCCTCCACCCGCGGGACCCGGCCAGCAGGACCGGCTAGGAAGAGCTGCCCCTGGCCCGGCCCTGCCCGCACTGCATCCTTCGCATCTCACACAATAAAAGCCCTCTCTGTTTTGTACGAACGTGTCCGGGTGTTCGGTGGTTGTTCAGCTGGGTATTGAACGTAGTCAGCAAAGTGTCTGGGGCATCTCATGAGTATGTTGTCACCAAAGAGCGGCCAATTCAGGGCGTTGGGGTAAGAAGGCCCTTCCCCCCCTCCACGAAAGGATGCCTGTTGCCATTCGGGTTCCCAGCGGATGACAGTGCTGCTGGCGGTGAGGGTACAGACTGGAGCCGCTGCTCACTGAGGGCCCCACGGCACAGGACCCGCGCTGGCTCCTTGCCCCGTTCACTCCGCTGGCCCTCTCTCCAGCCCTTGAGGCGGGTCCCATCAGTGCCCCATTTTACAGGTGAAGAAGTGGGGGTGCAGACCCGTGTGAAGCCGTGCTCAGGACCCTAGGTTTGAGCCCCAGCTCTGTGACTTTGGGCAACTTGCTCTCTTGCCCTCCCTTGAGCCTCTGTGTCCCTGCAGGGAGGGGAGGGGTCCGGGCCCCAGACCGGCCTCGGCCTCGTGACCCCCCCCCCACTCCTGCTGGGGATCACCAGCCTGGGCTCTCCTGCAGGGTTCTGGCCTTTGGTGCTCCCTCTGCCTGCTGGGCTGCTCCCCGGTGGCTCCCCTCACCACACCTCCTCCCAGGTCCTGGCTGCTGAGAAGGTGTCTGCCCTGCAATTGCCCTTTCTTTTTTTTTTTTTTTTTTTAAAGATTTTATTTATTTATTTGACAGAGACAGAGACAGCGAGAGCAGGAACACAAGCAGGGGGAGCGGGAGAGGGAGAAGCAGGCCTCCTGCTGAGCCGGGAGCCCGATGTGGGACTCGATCCCAGAACCCTGGGATCACGACCTGAGCCGAAGGCAGTCGCTTAACCAACTGAGCCACCCAGGCGCCCTGCAATTGCCCTTTCAACGGAACACTATACTATACCCTAGAGGTCTTTCCACGCCAACACAGCATCTGGGGGTATCCAGGGTTATTTACTGAACCGTCCTGTCTTGCTGAATCATTCCCAAATTTTGTTGCAAATCCCAACTCTTACATAATCTGGACTTCATACCCTAATGGGTTTTTGTTTGAAGTTCCTGATTTCAATAAGGAAACATGTTAGAATCTAACAAATCACACTGGTTATATTTTTTTTCTATTCTTCTCTGCGTATGAAATAGTCCACAGTAAAGAGGAAAGAAGTAGAAGGGAAAATATTGTGCAGTGTGTCCCCTGGAGTCCACCCCACCCTTGTGGTCCCAGCACTGCCCCCACCGTGGGTTCATGAGATGTTGATCCATGATCCCCATCTTATAAAGGGCCATGTAACCCACCTTGTGCTCATCAGAACCTGACATCCCTTGCTCACAGTGATTGGTTTGGGAGGGGACATGCGATCGAAGCTAAGCTAATCAGACACAGCCTTGAGAAGCTGGCTGGAATGAAGGGGGATTCTGGGGAAGGGCCCACTGAGCCACTGGGCTGAGTCTGGGGCCTCTGGGCCCACAACAGGGGAGCCTGGTGAGGAGAAAAGCCACCAAGGAGGAGAGGAGAAACCAGAGACAGAGAAACCTAATATTGTTCAGGCCCCTGGATCAAGCCACACCTGAAGGGAGACCCTGAAATTTCCATTTAAATTTCCTTGTTGAAAACTCCACCAAGTTCAACTTGATTTTTCTTTTTCTTTTTCTTTTTAAAAAAGATTTTATTTATTTATTTGAGAGAGAGAGAGAGAGTCCGAGCAGGGGGAAAGGCAGAGGGAGCGGGAGAAGCAGACTCCCCACTGAGCAGGGAGCCCGACGCTGGGCTCGATCCCAGGACCCTGGGATCATGACCTGAGCCGAAGGCAGTCGCTTCACCGACTGAGCCCCCCAGGCGCCCCTCAAGCTGGTTTTTCTGTCTTCCCAGCTGCCCCTACACACCACCTTTCTAATACTCTGCTTGCTGGGGTATCAGGCCCCAGAGCCACGGAGGACAAGAACCTCAGGTGACCTTCTTCCCACCCCCACCCAACTTCTTGGGGGAGGAAGAGAAAGGAGGGAGGGGCAGAAAAACGAGGAAGTTGGTTGTTTACAAGCTGTAGCCTCCAGGTCCTGTTGCAAAACTCTGGGGCTGGAAGGGCACTCTGGGGAGACTGGGCTGGCAGGGTAGGGTGCTGAAGGGTAGGTCGTCCTGTTCTGCTTTCTGCCCGTCCTAAGGGTACTGCCACACGAGGGCCAGTCCTGGATCAGGCACCTCCAACTGCCTGTGTGGTCTTGGTGTGGAGCCGTGAGGGAGCTTAAGCCCGGCGCCGAGGAGGGTGGAAGCGGGGCAGGCAGGTTTCGCTTTCCCCAGCTGGACTGCTGCCCACCCAACAGACAGGGCCTGCGGGGGAACCGCCCCCAGCCAGGTTCGTACAAGTGCCCCCCAGGCTCCGGCCACACCGCAGCAACATGGCAGACCGTCTGGTGCATCTCGTCACTCTGGTCCTCCTAGGAGCAGCCGCATGTGGTGAGTGGACCTGGGACGAAGGGACAGTGGGAGCCACCAGTCTGGGGGGCAGTGAGCCCTCCCCCCCATCCCCCGGCTCCACTAGGTGGGCAGGAAGGGGGACAGGATCCACGTGCATGGAAGGCTCTGAAAGTCTAGGAATTTTCAGAACTTCGAATGTGAGACCTGAGCTTTCCCCACAGTGAGGATCCGCAGCTGCGCGGGGCAGGACTGGCGGCCAGCGAAGCCAGCGCCGCCTGGACCGCAGCCCCCCGTGGCTCCCGTTTGCCTTGAAGCTGTTAGGCGCAGTGTGTAGGCCGGATTTGCCCCAGACCCCACCACTCCCCATCATTCTGTCCGCTGGCTGTGCTCCCTGGCCCCTGCGCAGTTCGCCCCTCTGGTGGGTAGAATGCCAGGCCTGAGCGGGCTGCAGTGGCCCGGGTGCAGGAGCGAGGTGTGCGGGCTCGCCTCCGGCCAGCGCTGAAGCGCTCACGCCCACCTGCCCGTCCCCAGCGGCGCAGCCTCGCGGGCGGATCCTGGGCGGCCGCGAGGCCGTGTCCCACGCGCGGCCCTACATGGCGTCGGTGCAGGTGAACGGCAAGCACGTGTGCGGCGGCTTCCTGGTGTCCGAGCAGTGGGTGCTGAGCGCAGCGCACTGCCTGGAGGACGCGTGAGTGGCCTGGAGAGAGGCGGAGCAGAGAGCGCGGGAGGCGGTTTGGCTGGGGTGGGGACGTGGCTCTGATGTGGACCCCACTCCCAGGGCGGACGGGAAGGTGCAGGTGCTCCTGGGCGCACACTCCCTGTCGCAGCCGGAGCCCTCCAAGCGCCTGTACGACGTGCTCCGCGCAGTGCCCCACCCAGACAGCCGGCCCGACACAATCGACCACGACCTCCTCCTGCTGAAGGTCAGCCAAGTCCAGCCGCAACCCCTCCTGCCGCACGCACCCCCGCCCATCCCCGCCCTGACGCTCGCTTCCGCCCCATCCCGCAGCTGTCAGATAAGGCCGAGCTGGGTCCCGCCGTGCAGCCCCTGGCCTGGCAGCGCGAGGACCGCGACGTGGCGGCCGGCACGCTCTGCGACGTGGCCGGCTGGGGTGTGGTCACCCACGCGGGCCGCCGGCCGGACCGCCTGCAGCACCTGCTCCTGCGGGTGCTCGACCGCGCCACCTGCAACCTGCGCACGTACCACGACGGCACCATCACCGAGCGCATGATGTGCGGGGAGAGCAACCGCCGGGACACCTGCAAGGTGCGCCGGGGAGCGGGGCCATCGAGGGGGCGGGGCGTGCGGCGAGGAGGGCCCGGGGGCGGGGCGGGGCCGAGGTCCGGACTGCTGGGGAGGAGAGGGAGGGCTACTGGCGGAGAGAGCCGGGCGCGGGGTCGGGGGCGCGGGGCGCGACGCAGCGCTCACGGCCCGCCCCCACAGGGCGACTCCGGGGGCCCACTGGTGTGCGGCGGCGTGGCCGAAGCCGTGGTCACTTCGGGCTCGCGCGTGTGCGGCAACCGCAAGAAGCCCGGCATCTACACGCGCGTGGCGAGCTACGCGGCCTGGATCGACGGTGTGCTGGCCGAGGGCGCGGCCGCCTGAGGAGGCCCCGGGGGGCGGCGGTCACGGGGTCGAGCAATAAAAGTCCTGTCCTGCAAGCGCCCCGCCTGCACTGAGCACGCCGGCCGCGGGGGACCGGGACCCGAGGGCGGCGAGGACGCGGCTCCACGCTTCGGCCGCAGGGGGGCGCCCCGACTCTTCCACCCGGGGTGGGGGAGGGGCTTACGTCCCAGGTGCCCCTTCCGCTCCCGCGGACGTCCGGCCCTCTGTCCGGCCTCCCAAGCGGGGCGGGAGGGCCCACTGTGTGCGAGGCCCTGCTCTGGGCTGAGCTTTAGGTACACAGACCCTCTGAAGTCAGTCGTGTTCTTGGGACCCAGGTCCCACATCGGGAAACTGAGGCTCAGAGGCTTCGTGACTCCCCTGAGATCCGAGGAAGCTCCCGGCAAAGCCTGGATCCGACCCCAGAACCACAGCACCTGCGCTCGGGGTCATCGCCAGGTGCTCTGAGGTTCACAGAGTAAGTTAGGTGGATGGGTGTCCCAGAGCAGCCATACTGACGGGCGCCCTGGGCCTCAGTTTACCCTTCTGGGCAACGACAAGGAGGTCGGAGGGCAGAACCCAGGCCCTGAGGCCCTTTGCCATCTCCCACCTGGATGAGGAGCCACTGAGACCCAGCACCCGCTAGGCCCCAGGTGTCCAGCTTGGCCCACAGAGGGGTTCATGACTTCCCTTTTGTTGAAAAGGAGACTGAGGGTCTGAGAGGTGAAGTCATGGGCCCCACTGGGGGTTGGGGAATTGGGACTGGAACCTGTGGCCATGTTTTACTTTCCTACTACAGGATGTTCACCTTGGAGTCATACGCTCATTCGTACACAAGCGCTTACTGAGCACCTACTGTGTGCTCAGCCCTGCTCGTAATAACTTAGTCCAGGCGTGGCTGCAGGGGCTCCAGAATGAGGGGACCCAGACCCCACCTCTTGACGGGAGTCATGTTCACGTCATAAAACCACAACTTAACCTTAAACCCATGATGTGACTGCAGAACGGACCCGTTGTTCTAAAACAAGTAACCAGCTTAAAAAGTAGGACTTGAGAGAGACAATGGCTAAAGAGGACGGGGCCCAGTGAAGGGTGTGGAGGGCCAAGCAGAAGCATGAGGTTCATGAGCCCTGAACCTCAAGCACGCAGACGGCACAGCAGTGGGGGCTGGGCACCATCCGGGGGGAAGGACCCCATGGAGCTCGCCTCCAGGGAGAAGAGCTGTCTTCCCTGCTCCCCAAAACTGTCCCCGACTCTGCCCTACATGTGAGGTAGACTAAAAATCTGCCCATCTTCCCCCACTGGCTCACGGATGGCTCTGTCCATCAG